GAAGTAAATGGAATACACATTCACCCTTCCAGTTTTTACGGATAGAAGAGACAAGTGACTTCCCACCAGGAAAGCTATCATCCCAGACTTGGGCTATTCATAGCCGTCTAGCATCCAAAACTCCATGGCTTAATCTTCATCTCTGACTTGGCTTCAGATGTTTTTCCACCTGCTGTCTCCATCAGTCATGCTTTTTCTTCTCTTAAGAATTTTTTTTTCCTCGTCAATAAAAAGAAATCTTCTCGTCTCTTCCAACCAGAAGACTATAGCTCCCCGCTGTTTGTGAGGTTTTGAGTAGGTATGAAGCACTGATCTAGGGGGCTTGAGATCCATCAGTGGACAAAACAGACGCAAAGCCCTAGCCTCCTACAGCTTACATTCTGGCTGGGGGAGGCAGACAGCGCGCAGTTCAGATGATAAATAAGTTTGTTCCGTGAGTATGTAGAAGGTGTTAAATACCACAGGAAAAGTCAAGACTGTAATCAGTTGCTATGAAAAGAATAAAGAAAAACTGGTAGTGTGGGGCTAAGGAACACCCCTGGATTCATTTTTTTTTTTTTTTTTTAAAGCATGGTCTGGGGCACCTGGGTGGGTCAGTCGGTTACACATCTGATTTTGGCTCAGGTACGATCTATCTCACGGTCTGTGAGTGCGAGCCCCGCATCGGGCTCGCTGCTGTCAGCACAGAGCCTGCTTCAGATCCTCTGTCTCCCTCCCTCTCTCTGCCTCTCCCACTTGCTCGTGCGCTCGCTCTCTCTCTCTCTCTCTCTCTCTCTCTCTCTCAAAAATATACACTTAAAAAAAATAGCACGGTCTGGATGGACCTTACTAAGGAGGGGGAGGAAATCTGTTCTAGGCAGAAGGAAGAGCTGGTGTAAGGACCCAGGGCAAGGCTAACATTGTAGACCATTATAAGGATTCTTTTGACTTCAAGTGATAAGGGGAGCCTTTGGGAAGTTAGAGCAGGGGAACGACTTGATCTCATTTATATACTAAAAGAATCACTCCAGCGGCGCCTGGGTGGCTCCGTCAGTTGAGCGTCCAACTCTTGATTTCGGCTCAGGTCGTGATCCCAGGGTTATGGCGTTGAGCCCTGCGTCGGGCTCTACGCTGAGTCTGGAGCCTACTTGAGATTCCCTCTCTCCCCCAGCCCTGCCCCTCTCCCCGACTCGCACGTGCTCTCTAAAATAAAAAAATAAAAAGTAAAAAAATCACTCTAGCTGCAGCGTAGAGAGTAGACTGTAGAAAGGCGATGGTAGGAGTAAAGATTAGTTCAGAGGCTACTGCAGCGGTCCAAGAGAAAAGTTACGACGGCTCGGATCTGGGTGGGTGCCGTGGAAGTGACGAGACAGCAGATTCCGGAAACATTCTGAAAGGTTGAATTAATGGGATTCCCTGACAGATCTGGACCGGAGGTCTGAACGAAGAGAGGTGTTTGTAAAGATGACTCCCAAGGTTTTGACCTGAGCCACTGGAAGGATAGGGTTGCCATCTACCGAGATGAGAAAGACTATAGGTAGAGTAGGTGTGGGGCAAGAACAGAAGTTCAGTATGGGCACAAGTGAAGTTTGAGATGTCTCTTCGCTATCAAGTGGAGATACTGAGTAGGCAGTTGGATATATATACAGGTCTGCGGTTTGGGAGACAGGTCTGAGTTAGAGACTGAAGTTTGGAAGTCATCAGCATGGGATTTAAAGACCTAATATTAGAAGAGATCACCAAGGGAGTGAATATACACTGAGAAGTGGATGACCAAGCTATTCCTTGTAGAGTACTGTATTTATAAAAACAAAAGAGCAATCCACGTAGAAGTGGGCCTGTGCAGTTCAAACCCGTGTCACTCAAGAGTCAACTGTATTGGGGCGCCTGGGTGGCTCAGTCGGTTGAGCGTCCGACTTCGGCTCAGGTCACGATCTCACAGTCCGTGAGTTCGAGCCCCGCGTCGGGCTCTGGGCTGATGGCTCAGAGCCTGGAGCCTGCTTCCGATTCTTTGTCTCCCTCTCTCTCTGCCCCTCCCCCGTTCATGCTCTGTCTCTTTCTGTCTCAAAAATAAATAAAACGTTAAAAAAAATTTTTTTTTTAATTAAAAAAAAAAAAAAAAAGAGTCAACTGTATGGTGTAGGTGGTTACGGCAAATACCTGTAGGGGTGTGTGTTTGAACCTGTCCGTGTCCCGGAAAGCCAGGTCGAGCAATATAGGTGGTATAATAGGAAGCAGGGAAAATGCTAGTTTTTCGAGCGCTAGGAGTATGGTGATAAAAAGAGAGTTTAGACAGTTTTGATAATTAGTTTATTAGTCAAGGAAATAGCTGAAGATACTAGCAGTGTTTTTCAAAGTGTGCTCTGGGGGACCGCTTCATCAGAATCTCCCGGGGAGCTTATTAAAAATGCAGGTTTCTGGAGATGCAAGCTAACTACCGAATCCGTATCTCTGGGGGGGTAGGACTCTGGATTCTGTATATTTAACAACTTCCCTGGGTGACCTTTAAACACAACAAAGTTTGTGAACCGCGGCTCTAAAGATTTTGTTTGAGTAAATCATACTCCTGACTGATGAGTTCTCCAGAACACAAGACATAGGTGAACAAAAGGCATTTTCAATGTGAAAAACCCACGCTAACCATCCACACTTCTAAATGTATGGAAGTTCTAAGAAGCTAAGTTTACAGTAGTGTTCGTTTGGCCTGACGTTAACACCTCCTTTCAGTTGTTTGAGTGGTACTTCAGGTATTTGTAACAGTTAATGGGTCTTTCATGAGACAGGGGTTATATAATCTGTTACTTACTATTTTTTTAAGGTTTGTTTATTTTTGAGAAAGAGAGTACAAGTGAGGGGCAGAGAGAGAGAGAGACAATCCCAAGCAGGCTCCACACTGTCCGTGCAGAGCCCGATGCAGGTTCGTGAGAACCATGAGATCATGACCTGAGCCAAAATCAAGAGTCAAATGCTTAGCCTACTGAGCCACCCAGGTGCCCCCATAATCTGTTACTCACAAATCATTTATGCACCAGAGAAGATGGTTGACCAGGTATAGCTGCCCCCATGCTATCTGAGGTCTGTCTGAAGCCACAGAAACTAGGAAGGAAGGAGACAGAGCTGTGGGCACCTGGCTGTTTGGCCCGGGCTACCCTAAGGCTAGCCCCCCAAACCGCTACTTCCCATCTCCCGTGAGGCCTTACGCCAACATAGCTGGGAATTTGGTACTACGCCTTTTCAGCCGTTTCTTTGGACACTTGGGAGAAAGGGGCAGAGAAAGGCAAGTCGGAAATCCTATTTTTGTTGTTGTGTCTTCGTCGCTGTGACTGCAGGGAAAGGATAATTTTCGGCATAGGAGAATCTGAAAGCGGGGGGCCTCCCTGCTTCGAGCTGTGACAGGGAAGTGATGAAGTTCATGGTTTATTTTACTCTGTGCCTCCTTGAGGCAAGGATTTTGATGATCAAACTCCTCCCCGAGGGTTTAGGATTTTACAAAGGCCACCTTTCACCAGCTGATATCCACAGCCGTGCTTCTCCTGATGGACCATGAATTAATTTTAATTTCTTCAATGACCAGGCAGTGAACTTTGGGAACTTTTTTTTTTTAAGTTTTATTTATTTATTTTGAGTGAGCGTGCTTGCAAGCCGGGGAGAGGCAGAGAGAGGCAGAGAGAGAGAGAGAGAGAGAGAGAGAGAGAGAGAGAGAGAGAGAAAATATGAATCCCAAGCAGGCTGTGTGCTGTCAGGGTGGAGCCTGATGCAGGGCTCGAACTCCTGAACCGTGAGATTGTGACCTGAGCCGAAACCAAGAGTCAGATGCTTAACCGACTAAGCCACCCAGGCGTCCCTGGGAACTTTTGATTCTAGAATTTGATCCCTTCTTCCATCTACCGGACTGTTGTATTCTAAGTGCAAGTTTCAATCTATGTGGGTCTTTTAACAACTTTCTACATTTATTGGGTGCCTACAATGCAAAAAATATTATATTAGACGATGGTTTATAAAGACACGTAATAGGTACTCACAGTATGGGTGATATGTGTTATAAAGGGTCAGGTCTATGGGGCGCCTGGGTGGCGCAGTCGGTTAAGCGTCCGACTTCAGCCAGGTCACGATCTCGCGGTCTGTGAGTTCGAGCCCCGCGTCAGGCTCTGGGCTGATGGCTCAGAGCCTGGAGCCTGTTTCCAATTCTGTGTCTCCCTCTCTCTCTGCCCCTCCCCCGTTCATGCTCTGTCTCTCTCTGTCCCAAAAATAAATAAACGTTGAAAAAAAATTTAAAAAAAAAAAAAAAGGGTCAGGTCTATCATATTTAATGTAGTACAGGGGGCACTTCCCCTGGCCGTCTAAAGAATAAGGGATATTTTAACTAACTGAGAAAACTGCTCTGCATTTGGATTGAAAGCCTTAATAAGAAGGTGGTTGAACTTTTTTCAACTTCAGAGAGTTTGTATCACTATCCAAACTGTAGCACATCCTGTGGATGGGGGAGATGGGTGAAGGGGGTCAACAGGTACAAACTTCTAATTATAAAACAAGTCCTGGGGATATAATACACAGTATGGTGATTATAGTTAATAATACCGTATTGCATGTTTGAAACTTGTGAAGAGAGTAGATCTTAAAAGTTCTCATCACAAGAGACTCTTAAATACTGAGAACAAACTGAGGGTTGATGGGGGGTCGGGGGGAGAGGGGAAAGTGGGTGATGGGCACGGAGGAGGGCACCTGTTGGGATGAGCACTGGGTGTTGTATGGAAACCAATTTGACAATAAATTATACTTAATAACAATAAAAGATCTCATCACAAGAAACACAACGTATAACTATATGTGATGACGGATTGTGAGTAGACTTATTTTGGTGACCACGTTGAATCATTATGTTGTATACCTGAAAATGATACCGTGTTGTAAGTCAGTTATACTGCAGTTAAAAAATACATATACAGCACATCTTCTGCAAGTTTTTTTTTATTTTAACATGTAATAAGGCTGTCACTCTCATTTCTCTTCCATTTAGCTATGGCAACAAAAGCAATATACTCCGGTTTTTTGCAAAACTAATCACACACAAACGTGTGGAACGGGACAGGATGTTTGTCATTTCGTACTTTCTCAGCGATGACACGATTTCAGTGTTTGAACCTGTAGAGAGGAATTCAGGTAGGAGACACAGCTCTCTTCTAGCAATTTTCTGAGAACAAGTAGCTGTCTCTTCATTTTTTTTTTTTTCATGTTTATTTCTTTATTTGGAGAGAGAGCACGCACGCAAGAGCGGGGTTAGGGGCAGAGAGAGAAAGAGACAGAACCCCAAGCAGGCCCTGCCCTGTCAGCACAGAGCTTGACGCGGGGCTCAATCCCATGAGCCATACGATCATGACCTGAGCGGAAATCAAGGGTCAGACGCTTAGCCGACCGAGCCACCCCGGCGCCCCACAGCCATTTCATTTTGAAAGTTAGAGAGCCTGGTCTGATTTTTATGGCCTAGATGACTAAGATCGTGGCTTTCTTCTTCTTCCCTTTTTTTTTTTTTGTAACCACTGAACTTCACTTTACAAAGATCTCTTAAATGGGAACCCAGACATATAAAATGATGAAAGAGGAACAGTTTGGTTGACTCCGGGCTGGGGGACTCTGGATGCTTCCTTCTGGATACTGTCCCCCTTTCCTCCGTGGCCTCTGAGGTTCCTCTGTGGAATCCAGGAGCTTCAGAGTCATGGTCTGTTCCACCCAAACACAGCAAGACGAGGAAATCTGTGTTTTTGAGTACCACGTGTAAAATTTTTGCGTAACTCTAAGACAGTCCCAGATTAACAGATTTCATCTTCAGTGCCTCCCTTCCTCTGGCTTCTCTGTCCGTCTGAGGCTCAGGCCACGGTTCCAGCACCCGGGTGCACGGAACGCGTCTCCGCGGCGTGCTGATACCGTGGACGTGGCTGAGGAGAACCACTGATTTTGACTCCCCGAATTATGGAACTGCAGGGCTCTGTTCTTTGTCCCAACACGTTGAAAACTTGTATCTGTGCTGAAGGCACGTCTGGGAAGAATCATCAGTGGTGTGCTGGAGAACCGGCTCTCTGAAAACAATTTAAAAAGCCCCAATTTGTCAAAACATTTGCCAACTGCCATGGTTGTAGATGCCCCAGCCATAGTCCATTTCAAGCAAGCAACACTAACAACTGGCTTGAAAAATCCCTAAAAATTTCACAGGCGGCCATTATGAGCTTGTATGAGCCATCCTGCACACCGATGCATAACGAACGATTTGTAGAGCTAAGGCTGCGTAGTGATCTGAATAAGGGATCAGCTCTTAAAATACGAAATCACATAGGAGTCATGCTCTTCAGGGTCAAAAGATCAACCCTGGGGGTGCCCGGCTGGCTCAGTTGGTAGAGCATGTGACTCTTGATCTCAGGGTGGGAAGTTCAAGCCCCGTGTCGGGTGGGGAGCCTATAAAAAAAAAAAAAAAACAAACCAACAAAACTGTACATCTAGAATACGGAAGAGTCTGGCCACACAGATTGTAGCACTCAGAAAACAGGGTGCTGGAAATCAGCTATAAGCTTACTAATTATAGTCGCAGCCATGATTGAGTACCCACTGTTACCCTCACAAGAACTTTATGAGGTTTTGTGTTAGTCTGGATCCTCCAGGGGGCAAAAGGAAAGAGAGTGTCTTAGGTTGCAGGGGGCTTCTGAGCACGTTTTAGCAAGGCTGACCAGGAGTCCTGGAGCCAAAGTCGCTCTTTGGAGGGGCCTCCCTCTTGCAGGAATGGGCCTACGTCAGTATCCCTGCCTTACCCAGCAGGCTGTGGGAAGCGTGACCTCGGTCCAAACCCCGGGGGTGGCTTTCAGAGCCTAGCTGCCGAAGCCTTTGCTAACTGCGTTCCCCACAACAGATGACCTGAGAGGCACGTTTTCATAGCCCCCTGCGAACTTCATTCCCATTTGATTGGTGAGAACTCAGAGGGGTTCAGAGACGTGCAGTAACTCCTGAAGATCATCCAGCAAGGTACAGAGCCAGGCGCTCTCTTTGGCTATAAAGCCTGCGTCTTTCCACCACCTCTAGTTTCTGAATGTGTCAGGAGTGGGATGAAGCTGACCCCCGAAGTTCATCTGGCTTCGTGCTGTACTCAGATGCCTTGAAGGTTTCAAATCCGCATCCGTTAGAAGATACCGGATCCCCGTCTTGAGTTCTTCTCATTGCTTTGCAAGAGGCAAAAAGCAAATAACCCCCAGAGGAGAGCAGATGAAATGGTCAGAATTCTGGAAAGTAAGAAATGTGTGGCATTGCTACAGGAAGCAAACATACGTACCGTAGGAAAAGTAAAAAAAAAAAAAAAAAAAGTTCTGGGACTCCCATAGTTATCTTCAGACAGTGAAGTAAGCTCCTTTCCAAAAGCAGGGCATCTTCGGGGCATCTGGGTGGCTCGGTCGGTTGAGCATCCAACTTCGGCTCAGGTCATGATCTCGTGGTCCGGGAGTTCGAGCCCCGCGTCGGGCTCTGTACTGACAGCTCAGAGCCTGGAGCCTGCTTCGGATCCTTTGTCTCTGACTCTCCCTCCCCCTCCCCCGTTTGTGCTTGTGCGTTCGCTCTTTGTCTCTCTCTCTCTCTCTCTCAAAAATAAACATCAAAAACAGGGCATCGTCTATTTAAGCTGCATGCTGCAATAAATATAAGACGCCATCTGGGACAAATAGGTGGAAATAAGCTCAGGTAAGGAACGTTCTACGTGGTACTATCCAAACGTGCTCTAAAGCTGAGTATCTTCCTGAGGCCCCAGTTCCCGGTATGCTGCTGGTTATATAGCAGGCAACTTGCTCCGTGTTTATTTAAGCGTTTGGTTTGGGGAAGGGAGCAGAGAGAGGAAAGAAAAGGCTGGAATGCCACACCTCTTTTTCCTCTCCACATTCACCTAGGGAGTCTGTTGTTCACCCCCTGACTCATTCTCCCCTCAAGTCTGAGAAGAATAGGCAGCTGTGAGTTCACATGCTAAGTCGTCCGCTCTTGTGTTTGAGCACGAAGTCCCTCAAAAGGCACGTTGTGTGGTTCTTTGAAGAATAAAGGCCACTCCTTAAACTCTTTGCTTTCTCTCTAGGGTTTACTGGTGGGATGTTCCTGAAAAGAATGCGCGTTAAGAAGCCTGGACAAGAAGTCTTTAAAAGCGAACTATCAGAATACATCCAGGCCAAGGACCTGTATATTGGAGCCAGAGTGAACTTGAATGGCTACCTGTTTCACTTGCTCAACGCTGACGAGTATACCTTACGCTACATGGAGGAGAATTCAGATCAGGTGGGCCGCCCATATCATTCCTGACTCGCCTCGCCTCACGCTGTAGTCCGTGTTTCTCCTTCACCAGTTTCACATTGTGCACTCGCACACGTGGGCATGAATAATGGATCTGCGCGACTTGGCCACGGGTCCCGGCCTACTCTGTTTACACGCTGGGCCCTCTGCTGCCCGGCATCGCGGATGCCAGGCACAGGCAGGAGGCAAGCCCGGGGTTGAATCAGGTTTCCTGGGCTTTCTGCTGACGCTGACAATGTTTCCGTAAAGAAATTTCAGCAACTATAGGGAAGGAAGAAAATCTGGTGCCACACACTGTGCCGTCCCAGCTAATCGGCACCGGCCTGTGCGGGAAGGCCAAGCGCTTGAACAAACAGAAACCCCGAGGGAACCTGGATAGTTGCTGGGGTTGCAGCTTTTCCGTAACAGGAGCCACCTGAGGCCTGGTTGAGAATTCAAGGACAAATGGGCCACCGTGAGCTCAGAGAGTCTTTCCTTTTGAAGGAAGATGGCAGATGGGTCCTGTTACAATGTACTAGTGTGGCAGTGCTGTTCTGGAAAAATAACACGTTGATAAAATCCCGGTTTTAAGTGTGGACCGGTTTCGTGGGCAAACGTGTGTATTTAGGAGTCATTGGTCAGTATTGAAAAATCCGTCTGGGAGCGCCTAGGTGGCTCGGTAGGTTAAGCGTCCGACTCTCGGTTTCCGGTCAGGTCATGATCTCGCAGCTTGCTTCTTGGGTTCGAGCCCCGCATCAGGCCCTGTGCTGATAGTGCGGAGCCTGCTTGGGATTCCCTCTCTCTGTGCCCCTCCCCACTCGTGCTCGCTCTCTCTCAGAACAAACCTTAAAAAAAAAAAAAAAAAAAAAAAGAAAAGAAAAATCTGCCCAGAAACAATTTATTTTCAAAGTCTGCCTGCAGGGGCAGCTGGGTGGCTCTTCTGGTTGGGCAACCAACTGTTGATTTTGACTCAGGTCCTGATCCCAGGGTTGTGGGATCGAGCCCGGCATCCCCCTTGCGGGCACGCGCTCTATCTCTCGAATAAAAAAATAAACGTCTGCCTGTAAGAGACAGAGGAATTGAGAGAGAATCCCAAGCAGGCTCTGCACTGCCAGCATGGACCCCGATGCGGGGCTTAATCTCACGACCATGCGACCATGACCTGAGCCGAGATCAGGAATCGGACGCTTAACCAGTTTAGCCACCCAGGCGCCCCCCTCTGCACAGTCTGTCTTGATGGGAGACCCAGGCTGCACCCTGCCCCCCCAGGGTTGCCACACCATTTCTCCATTGGCGGCGTAAGGACTTGGGGTTATCGTAAAACTGTGAACCAGTAGCCCTTCAAAAGCGCTGAATTCAGGTGAGAGGCTTGAAAACAGGGCAGTTAGACTTTTGCAGACCAGTAGGCTCAGCTAGGAAACCTGACTCCACACTCACTGGCCAGAAGGCCTTAGACATGGTTCCAGAACCATGCTTGTAATCCAGACCATTTGTATATCAAAGCAAATTTCAAGAACCGTGGGCTCAGTTGTGGTCATGTGACGTTTGTCATCACGTACTATTCGAATTGCAAGACATCACTTGTTTATCCCGGTAAAATGTATGAGAAATGTTTGCTCGTCGTGTAGAACCCTCGCAGAACAAGTTACTCACGATGCAAGGATTTACTATAGTTGTAAGATCTAAAAGGCTCTTCTCCTTCCGGAAAGATAAAAGCAGGGTGTAGGACGTTATCTAATATTGGCATCCCAAGTGAAACCTGCCTTATTTGAAAACTACACTTAACAAGGACTTTCTAAGCAGAGGGAGATTAACATACTCTTTAATATCAATCTGAGGAGTCTTTTCAAAAGAGCTTATGAGATCCAGTCATGGAAGTAGATGAGAGGAAGTGCAAAAAGGTGGGGGAGGGTAAGGGGCTGCCGTAGGTCCCAAACCCCCTGGTGGAAAAGAGAGATCTTTATACTAAATTGTAACATCAGTGTTTTTAATCTTCGTATTTAGTGTCTCTCTCTCTCTCTCTCTCTCTCTCTCTCTCTCTCTCTCTTAGCTCTTAGCTGTAATTATTTATAAGCTTACGCTTTACTGGGTTGAATAAGAAGTATTTTGGCAGAGTCAAACACCTCATCACAGGGTAGGAGACAGGAACTGGGGACTGCTGGTGAGCGCATGTCAGAGGATTACAGTGTGTGTGGATCTCCTGACACCTAGCTGGGCTCTGCCCAGTGCGTCGTCTGGTGGCCATTAGTCCTAGGGGACCCACTCTTAAGATCTGGAGAAAATGGGGATCTGCTTACCCAACTTTGAATCCCCATTCTCTCCATTAGGGTCTCCCGACATTGGGCCAACGTCTAAGGGTTCAGGGGAGAAGGCTGAGGTGGGAGGAGACATTGTTTTCTGATTCCTGTGGCCTACTGTCCCTTAAGCTCATTTCTCTCTGATCTGGGCCTGAGCCAGTGCCACTCGTTGTCCTAAAACTGTAACTGAAGAGGTTTAATTCTAGCCCTGTCTTCTCTGTGTTGGTCTCCACAGAAAGCCGTGCCCAGCTGCCTTCAAGTTCAGAGCATGGAGTCTCTTTGCTGGCCATCAGAAAGACGGGGCCCTGTGTGTCTCAGGCATGTTTAAATACCTTCCTTTCTTCTCTCCCCCCCCTCCCCCCCAGTTTCCCATGAGCAGCATTGAACTCGTCCTACAAAAGCTGAAAGAACCATCAAAATCCAGAGAGCTCAAGCACTTATTTAGAAATGCTGACCCCAAGCTTACAAAGAGAGTGGATTATAATGCATTCAGGTAAGCCAGAATTGTGCTAGCAATAATTTGTTTTCCCTTCAAGATCCCCCAAAGAGCGAAGAACAGTTTCTTCCCTAGTGCTTCCTAACTAATTTACTACGTACTTTTATTATTGTTACTGTTGTTGTTACTACGGCTTGACATTTCTTTGGGTCCATGCCTTTGTGATCAAGTTTGGCCCGTTGCTAGTAAAGATCTATGCATTTGCATGTAAAAGAAGTTTGTAGGCAAGAAGGGAGAGACAAAAGCATTGAAAGTTCTGTTGTCTTGTGAATCGTAGTGTTGAACGCTTGAGGGGTGGCCGCCAGAGCACATCAGAGTGAGAGAGGCAGAAGAAAATGCAGCTCAGGGCACCCCTCCGAAATCTGGGGAACAAAGGAAGGGCCAGCTCCCCAGGAATGCGATCCAGTTGGAAAAGGGAGTGGAAACTTGTCCTGACTATCAGGCAAGAGGTGATACATACGTTTTGAAAAACCTTAAAATATAGAAATCGAGGGGAAAATACACGGCAGTAGTTAGAACTGTACCAAGAGATCATGGGCAATAAAGGTTTTCTCTGAGGTAGAGCTGAATTCTGGGACTGTCCAGTGGCTGACCCCGGGCAAATTGCCAAACGGTGGAAACCCAGGGAAATTCAAATTCAGGATCTAGTACAATTGTGAGACTTCTTAGCCTTGAAAACGAAGTGAATGGAGCGTTCAGGAGAATGTAAATTAAATCACGGGTGGGAGGACAAAGAGGACTTTCTCTTTAGGCTCCTGAAAACAATAGTGGCTGAGAGCTATTTAGGAAACTCGCTTGCCGACCAATGAGGATGTGAGCCCAGGAGAGGCTGGCAGGGAGGTCTTCCAACTTTGCGTCTGGAGTCGCCTGTTGCATCAGTACCTGGTGACCCGAGGCCACCGTCAGGCCCAAAGTGCCCCCCAGCCTCCCGTGTTGTTTTGACAGAGCTCTTTTGTGTCCCCGAAGTGTTCTCTTGAGAGAAGCGGTCGGGACATATTTTTGTTGTTTGGCATCGCCAACCTTCTGGGACCAATAAGAACTCATGGCTCTTTGTTATTGTTCGTAGTAGTACACATGTTTGTGGCCTTTTGGAAAATAAACGGAGACAGAGAAAAGAGCAAAGACGATGGCTTAGGCCGTGGACTAATGGAAAGCAGTAGGGGAGGAAACACATTTCCATCAGAGATGAGGCAGTGGCTTCGTTTGGTTATTTTGTGTCCTTTTTGGAAAAGCATCGTTCTCCCAACACTCTAGCAGAGCCCGTTGGAAACACTTTAGAGAGTTGATGGGACTTTGGGGGAGGCACTTGGGCCAGGCAGGAGATCCAAGGAGTTTGAAAAGTTGCCCTGCAGATGGAGGCCTGACCCCTCACCGTGGGTGGAATAAAGGACCGCCAGGCTGTGTGATTGAGGACAGCCTCGAGGCGTCGGGTGCTCAGAAGGAACCAGCACCCCCCCCCCCCCCGCACCGCCTCCCCCTCCCCGCCCCCGTCTTTAGACCCTCTCCTGGCCGGGAAGCCCTTAAGATGAAAACCAGATCAGGTCATGCCCGGCTGGCAGAACCCTTCAGTGCCCTGCCATCGTGCTTACGGTAAGACCCAGACGTCTTCGTGCAGCCAGCCCGGGCCCCGAGTGTTGTGACTCTGTTTGTATTTCCACTGTTATCACTTCTTGTTCCCCAGCCCTGTCCTCTGGCCTTGCTGGCTGCCGCTCAGTTTCTCAGACGCGTCAAGCGCTTTCCCGCCTCCAAACCTATGCGCGCGCTGTTCCCTCTGCTTGGAACGCAGATTGTGCCACACCACGGTCCTTTTCACTGCAAACTCCAAGACTCCTCTTAAGAGGGTTTTTTTTTTTTCTTTCTAATGCTTATTCATTTTTTTTTATTTTTTATTTTTTATTTAAAAAAAAAATTTTTTTTTCAACGTTTATTTTTGGGACAGAGAGAGACAGAGCATGAACGGGGGAGGGGCAGAGAGAGAGGGAGACACAGAATCGGAAACAGGCTCCAGGCTCCGAGCCATCAGCCCAGAGCCCGACGCGGGGCTCGAACTCACGGACCGCGAGATCGTGACCTGGCTGAAGTCGGACGCTTAACCGACTGCGCCACCCAGGTGCCCCTAATGCTTATTCATTTTTGAGAGCGAGAGCGAGTGCGAGTGAGGAAGGGGCAGAGAGAGAGAGGGGTGGGGGGACAGAGGATCCGAAGCAGGCTCTGAGCTGTGAGCACAGGGCCCGACACGGGACTCGAACTCAGGAACCGTGAGATCATGGCCCGAGCCGCAGTCGGATGCTTGACCTCCTGAGCCACCCAGGCGCCCCTAAGACGCCTCTTCAATGGCACTTCCTCGGCGGGGCTTTCTTTCTGATTATCCCGCCTAAAGCCTGTCACTCCGTTATCCTTACCCTTCCGTCGGTAGTTTTCACAGCGCTTAGCACAACTCGCAGCTACTCTATTTGGACAGCCGTATGGGCGCATGTGTGCTTGGGTGTCTTCTCCTGTGAGAACGGAGAAGGTTCCTGAGGGCCAGGCACCTCCACGGTCCTATTCACGGCCCTATCCTGGGCACCTAGCGCTGGGCTCAGTGAATGTCTTAGTTAGCTCCTGAATGGAATGCCGAACTGCTAGAATCATTCCTGGGGCGGGGGGGGGTGGTCTGGTTTGATGGCACTGTCTGCAGGTGAGCATGTAGATCAGGAGGCAGGACGTCCTGGTCAACACGACATGTTTGGGGTCAGGCACTGTGCCTTCTGTGCTTGTGGGCCCCTAGCTTAATTTTTGAGAGAGAGAGAGAGAGAGAGAGCGCGCGAGGGGGGAGGGAGCAGAGAGATTGGGAGACACAGAACCCGAAGCCGGCTCTTCCCTGTCCGCGCCGTAGGGGCTCGAACCCATGAACCGGAGATCGTGACCTGAGGCAAAGTCGGACGCTCAGCCGACTGAGCCCTCCAGGCGCCCCTTCACCTCTCTCTCTTTTGTTCCTTACACCCTTTCCCAGGCAAAGGCAAAGGAACTCACAGCCAGTCTCCGTCACACCACACAAGATTTAGTTCTGGGTGCTCTCACTAGCTCATGTTTTTCTTTTCACTTATTTTCGTGTGTATGTCTGGGTGTGTGTTCCGAGAGCAGGGACACTCCCTTCCTGGTTTTCTGCTTGAGCCTCAGCACTTTTTACAGTGTCTGGCACATAGTAGGGCCAGAATGAAAATTCGTTGAGTGGCCACATCTCATCCTACCCTCACTGCTTTGACTGCTGCCTCAGGGCTGATTTCTACCTACTTGGTCCTCAAGCTCAGACCCTTCTCTTGAGCTGTAGATCTGGAAATACGAATGCCTCCAGGACATTTCCCCGTTGGATGTGCCTTAGGCATCCCAAAATAACTTTTTCTAAGTTGACCTCATTTTCTTCTCCTCTAAAGTTGTACCTGGGGACCCTGTCTTGGTAATAGCCACCACACTTGTGCCCAGGGCCCGGGGCCAGGACCTTACTTTTCTCTGTCTTCTCTTCTGTCTTGACCTCTCCTACCCACCTTGAAACTATACTTATTTTTTTTTTAATTTTTTTTAACGTTTTATTTATTTTTGGGACAGAGAGAGACAGAGCATGAACGGGGGAGGGGCAGAGAGAGAGGGAGACACAGAATCGGAAGCAGGCTCCAGGCTCTGAGCCGTCAGCCCAGAGCCCGACGCGGGGCTCGAACTCACGGACCGTGAGATTGTGACCTGAGCTGTAGTCGGACGCTTAACCGACTGAGCCACCCAGGCGCCCCATGCTTATTATTTTTTTTAATGTTTTTATTTATTTTGAGACACAGAGAGAGCATGAGCAGGAGAGGGGCAGAGAGAGAGGGAGACGCAGAATTGGAAGCAGGCTCCAGGCTCCGAGCTGTCAGCACGGAGCCCGACGCGGGGCTCGAACTCACGGACTGTGAGATCATGACCTGAGCCGAAGTCGGATGCCCAACCGACTGAGCTACTACCCTGGTGCCCTGAAACTGTACTTCTTTTTAAAAAAATTTTTTGGGAGGCGCTTGGGTGTCTCAGTCAGGTAAGCATCCGACTTCGGCTCAGGTCATGATCTCGCGGTTCGTGAGTTCAAGCCCCGCGTGGGGCTCTGTTCTGACAGCTCAGAGCCTAGAGCCTGCTTTGGATTCTGTGTCTCCCTCTCTCTCTGCCCCTCCCCCACTAGCGCTCTGTTTCTCTCTCTAAAACATAAGTAAACGTTACAAAAAATAAAAATTAAAAAAACATTTTAATGTTTTTCATTTTGAGAGAGAAAGAGTGAGTGGGGGAGGGGCAGAGAGCGAGGGAGACAGAATCCATAGCAGGCTCCAGGCTCCGAGCTGTCCGCGCAGAGCCCGACGCGGGGTTCGAGCTCATGAACAGTGAGATCATGACCCGAGCCGAAGTCAGACACTCAACCGACTGAGCCCCCCCAGGCCCCCCCGAAACTGCTTCTTAAGCTAACTTCTCTCCAACCCCAGCTTCATTGTTGTGGCTCAGCTCTTAGACTGTCTTGTGAACTGTGCAGCTCAATCTCCTTTTCTTTACTCTCATCCGCCCAAGTGTTGCCAGAGGAACCTTCCTGAAATCTGATGATGTCATTCCTCTCCTCTAAATCCTGCGTCCTCCTTGTCTCCAGAGCAAATCCCGGCCTTTTGGTGTTTCGTGTGAGTTTGGTCATCATCTGACCCTTGCCTGCCCCCGCGCCTTACTTCACCTCACAAGAAGACTTTTATAGAAGTCCCCATTTATCCAGCACTTACTATGGGCCACACGTGGTACCAAATGCATTTCGTCTACTACCCACGGGTAGCCCCTGTTGAGTTGTTTACTTCCTGGCCTCCATCGCTGGCTCCTGCCAAGCACAGTAGATGTTTGTTGAATAATCTAACGAGTGGCCCTATTTCTTGGGACCGTTCAGTCGAAAGCCTGCAGTGAACAAATAGATAATTGCTTGCCTTGCACTGGGGAGGGGCGGTCTGTCTCTGACTGTAAGGGAGTCCA